CCAAAGAGCTTATGAAAAACAGCTTCAAGTTTAGCATAATTTCCATATGTTAAAAATAGCTGCCCAAAGGCAGTTACTACACTTGGCATGTGCAATTCCACTGACTGTAGTCTCAGAGAAACTACTCTGAGCTACGAATGAATTTTTCAACACTCCAACTGCTTACATTGACTGTGGACTTTTGTCTCTATCGCTAGTTTCAGAGATCAACTTGTGGAAGGTCTGTTCGTTCAATGAGGCTGCTAATAAAGGTGAAAGAATTTGAACACACAAGCAATGTATCTGTTAAAAAGCTTCTTTTCTAAGACAGGCAGAGCTAAACAAAAGCTGAATTTATATTGTGTCCCCATGTTCTAGTCTTGGTCAGTTAAGATAGCTGATTTTACCAACATCTCAGTTTCAAACTGCAGATGAACACTACCTACATTCGTATTCTTAAATAACATCCCTTCAGTGATAACACACGCACTCTTCTTTAAATGACCACTCATATTACAAACGCAAATCCTGAAACAAAGCCTGTCACTTGAAGCATACCCCTGCCCTATGACAGATTACGAAATCTGAAGAAGACGGGCATACTTAAGGCACTGGGACTTAAGACAATTTCTAGTAACTTATCTTTCTGGACATGTTGATACATAACAAGTAATGTTCAACAGTGCACTGCAACTTTCTTTAAGCCCCTAACCTAGAAAGCTGTAATTAGTTGCCAGTTCAGAAGCTGAGCTCTGGTCCTGCTCAAAGCAGTGTTGTGCCATGGGCAATCCTGGACCATTTAAAGTCACTGAACCTGGGCCATCATGGCTGTGACGTGAAATACGGGGAAATTGTTCACTTAGTGTTATAATTTGGTTTGAAAAGTCACGTTTACTTGTCCAGGGCACTACAGCCAGATTTATTTGCTTATCACCAAAACTGCGAGAACCTCTTGTTTTTAATGAAGGCACAGCCTGTGTGGTCTCTGGAGTTGCTCTCCTTTTCAAGATTTAATCCACTAGATCAGATGCACATGTGGCAGTAGCAGAGGAAGCCCTTTAACACCCAGAAGTATTATTTAAATCAACTTCAGCCAAATCCGATACTAGCAATATTATAGCAGTTGCCTGGAACTGGTCTTTTACTCATCTCCAGCACTCAAAATGTACCAATACCAGATTTTGTTGCTGCTGTTGTTTTTTTAAACAAAAATACAACCAAAATGTTTTCAATTTGCACTAACTGGCTGGCTAAATAGCACAAACATGCCATCCCATCTGCTGAAGGAATGGTTAAACCGTAGAGAAAGCGGCTTTGATTGGAGATACACAAATATAGGAAGCAAACCTTCAAAGGGGCAGGTTTCGCTAGTTCTTAGAGCACTTTTTGTCTCCAGGCAGAATTTGGGAAGATTTCAGGCACTCACTTACTTAGAGGCACAAAAGCAGGTCAATTGCTCCAAGAGTTACACTACCACGAAAAGCTGTTGTAGAATACAACATATTACTTTTTGTATTTAGGAACTGAAGTAAAATCTTAACATACAGGATTGTAAGCCCTTTCTTTAGTGAGTGCCAGCATATCCCATCTTCCCAACACCACTGAATACTGAAAGGTCTATTTTTCAAAGTTTAAAGAAAAGAAAGGATAGAAAACTAAGAGAATACTAATTCTAAACCTATTCCCATTAGTGCTGCAAACGTGCCGAGGGCTTGACTATGGAGACACGTCCAGAACATGACCTCAGATGAATTTGGCCCATCCTGAGTGTTATGTGAAAGGTGAAACGTGTTACTGTATAACCTATTACTACCAGCTACATAATATTTAGAAAGCCTTTAAGTGACCTCTTTTCAGGAAATCTGACAATATGGCCAAGGGACAAAAACCTCAAAATTTTAGCTTTCCAGTTGGGGTGGTTAATTTTTGTTAGTTAGCCTTTTTAAAACAAATGGCTGGAAGAACATTCGTCATTTCCATATGGCATGAACAACTTATGATTATTATTGTTTGCCTGAGGATCTTGTCCCTGCCCCAAAACAAGAAGGTTCATGAGCTGCAGAGGTGCCGAGAACTTCCTTGTGTAAAGCTAAGCTGTCTGGGTACTTAAACTTTTCCTCCTGCTTAATTAACTTGTAAATCCATGTAATTAAGCATCTGAGCACAGAGGCACTATTTTAATCTAACACTCAAAAAATTTTCTACTGTTCACACACTCTGGCATTCCTAATTAATTTTTTAATCAACATAATTTGAGCCAAGCACGTGCTTTTCATTAAGGCCTATTCACAAGCTTCATAAGTTTTAGCTATTCACTTCTTCTGAGAAGTAACCAAAAAAAATTAAATCACTTCTTCCCCAAAAAGCAGCTTTGATAGCAGACAGAGACCAACCACAGAAGCTCTCATTTTGCAGTTTTTCAAGAGTTAAGGGTTGAGCTAGAACCTGCTCTTCCAACCCATTTTCACACCGTACAGCTGATCCCAGTGGCTATGCCACAGCCAGCAGTATGGTACCATCAGAATAACTGGGAGGCAGATACCACCATCGCCAGGACTTGCTTCCTTTTTTGAGAAGTTTAAACAAAGCCAGTACAAGCTGTTCTTCATATTCACATGTCTCGTGAAAACATCAGGAAACCACATGGGCAGCCTGTGAATTTTTACTACAGACAAATATCGTATCATGAGAAAGTCTTCAAAATGTGGGATTTATGTGACCAGATGCAAACCTTTACAGTGTAGACACCTCCCTGTTCTCTTTATAGCCAATGGACAGAAGCAGGCAGACAGCAATTCATTTCCTCCCAAAGTACATGTCCTGTCAAATGAATCACAACTCAAATTATGCCCATCTCTCTCTTCTGGTTTTAAGTGGAACATGCTCTCACAAAAACTGTCTTTGGAAAGAGGTCACGGGCTAGTTACTCAAGCCTGGACTCCTGGAGGAGGTGGCAAACCAGACTGCTAGGTAGGAGAAAAAAGGACACCTGACAGAAAGAGACTAGAGATTATTTTAAAAGAAATAAACCAGTCTTTTGAGCTAGGTATCAAAGGTAAGCAGCAGTAGAGAAAGCGTACCTGTAAAAAAAAGCAGAGTAAACATGAGAGGGAATAGAATGGATTCAGGACTACGTGGAGGACTTTAAGTCAGTTCCCAAAGAACTTTCCTAGCTAGGAAGGAAACAGATAAAAATAGCACCTAGGTATGGTCACAAATTATAACTTCTAAATTTTGCTGGCACTAGACAATGCAATAAATCCTCCTTGATAGGGTATGTAGAATCCACTGAAACGTAATCAGCAGCAGGCCTAGTGCTGAGGACTGGAAAAAACTGTTCCTTTTAGGACAAAGCAAAAAGAAAGGAGGATGTCTCAGCTCAGAGGCAGGGCTAAACAGGAGCTACGCTCAACAGCATGCCTAGAAACTGTAAGAGACAGCGCCTGGACTCTCACCTTCCCAAGATGAGCAAAGCGAATGGCTCCAAAATCAGGTTTCAAAACAGCACTGGCAAGCATCCAGCAAGGGGAGCTTTATCAAAGCTGACATCTTCATTTCTTGTCAGCTTTATGACAGACAGTCAGACACTTTCAGAAGAAGGACCACAGTTCAGATTAGACAGGGTTAGACAGGGCTCCAGTTGGTCAAGTTCATGACCAGCTGGTATAATAGTGAGTGTTTTTTCTGGAGCGTGCTTCATGCTACAAAAGAAGCGCAAAGGAAATGTGAAAAAAATGCATGAACAAAGCAATCAGGATGAGCGACACACATTTTCTTCTTTCTATTTAATAAAGACTTAATGTTAGGTAGTATAAAAGTTCCATCTAATTGACCGTGCCAGAATGTAACCAGAACTTCATAACATGCCCCCTGGTTGTTTTCCATTAAAAGTACAGAAGAAAGACATTTAGAAAGCAGCCTCTAGTTTAAATATGCTTTACAGAATCAAGAAACAGCGTATTTAAATTTTAAGAGAGCTTATAAAATAAAGACTTCTGAATAAGCAACCTTGAGTTAACTTCTACCACCACTTTCTTCACTATAGAATATAGAGCTAATGCTTCAGACAGGCAACAGTGACACCTACTGTCAACAGTATCAAATAGATTCAACTTTTACAACTGATAAAACCAAACGTGTTTTTTTCCAAAGACTTTTGAAAGCATATTAAACATTTCCTTTTCAAGGGTTTCCTTTGTAGCACACCTATCGATAACTTCAGTTCTGTGGTAATGGCAACCTGTCTTGTAAAGTGCCTTTTAAATACAAATTCCTCAAAACCAACCTACTGACGGTGTTTAAAACCTCTATTATATTTCCCCACAGCTAACGTTCTTCAACTATTAGAATTGAAGCAGGTCTGAAAAAGGCCTTCTTGCATCCCTTCATACTAGCATTTCACGTTTTTCACCACCAGACACCCCTAAGTAACCACCCAAAAGTGCAGTTACCATACATGTGTTGGAGTAACTGGGTCCTGACTACGCAGTGCCTCTTTTCTGGTTTACAAGGGAGAACTATGCAAAAGGTAAATTCAATTCAGTGGTTCAACATTTAAAAAACACAAGAAAAAAAAAAAACCACACACTTAGGCGTGTAGCTGTTTTGTTTCAACTACGACATCATTCTACCAAGTTAAGTTTTGGCAAGTTGCTTCCCCCCACCCCGCATTGTTCTAATTTATTTAAATAAATGTTATTGTTACTGGGGAGAACAGAGTAGGGGCTTTCCACAGAAGCTCTCCAGAGAGTTCCACAATTTCAACATTCGCAAGGCAAGTCCATGGGTTGGCTCCGCAGCCAGCTCTAGTTCAGAGCCGGTCCACACAGCAGAAGCCTAGAGACCGCCAAGGAACATACATTGAAGGCCCATCTCCCTGCTACCAGCAGTAAATTGGCACTATCTAGATATCTCCTTGGCACATTCCAGTCCAGAAAGCTTTTTTTCATATTTGGAAAGGCTCCTTCCACACACGTTAAAGAAGCTACAATACCTACACAGAATATTCTCAAAAACCTTACCTAAGCAAAGAGAAGACATCGTAAGAGTTACGAACACAGTTCTGATCCACCTGGAGAAGACTATTCTTCAGGGTACCTGAGTGATCCTTAAGGCAAAGAAAGAATGTTAATTTAAGTATCAAAAATTTTTCCATCCTGACTAAAAGCATGCACAAACGATCTTGCATTTTATGTATTTTAAATCTGTCTTCATACAGTTAAAATTTAAGGCAGCAATAACACCAAGTCTGGCCTACAATAGCACTTTACCTGTAAAGATGTTAATGACCTATTACTTTATCTGTGTTCTAGACATGGAGTGTGTTTTCTTGAACTTTATAACCCATTACTGCACAAATTTTATGCACAGAAATACTGAAGGATGCAATTTACAGTACTGCCAGTCTTCAGCTTCGCATCTGCGAGCCAATTCAGTAACGTCCCAGAGATGTACAAGACCACGAGACAAAGCTCTATTCTTTATCCATGCTGTAATACGTTTAAAAGATCAAAGCAATCTTACTTTTGAATGATGTGAACAAGTTTCTGGAAGTTACCAAAAATATTTATGTCATTCATAAGAGACCGAAGTGTACATTCTGCACAAGAGGCATCAAAACAGTCACAGACAAACAGCAATTCTTCACGCTGCGATGGTCAGATACCAAGCTTTTCCATATCAGGCATACTCACACAAATTCCTAGAAACGCCACAATCTCAGAACTGTGTCTCCACATGATAAAGCAAATTCTGAGTAGGTCAAACCACCTGGCAGCATTGTCAGAAAGTTTATGGATTGTAGGAAAAAAGGCATTTGTTTTAGTGTATGAAGTAGCCCCAGCCGGCACACGTAACCAGCTGATTTTCCAACAGCGATACAAACGTGCTCCGAGCACCACAATCCCTGCCTACATATTCTTTCTTCCCTCAACAGGCTGTTTCCATATAGAAGATGTTGAAACACAGAGTTACGTGTCAACATCTACTGACACAACTGTTAGCCACGGGCCTCGCAGCAGACATTCCTTTCCACCAAAAATAAGGTTCCACCTAAATAATCGTGAGATCTATATGCATCATATTGCAACAGAGGCACCCTATCAGCAGCTGTCTCAGCCCTTCATTTCCATTCTCAAGATGTCGGATCTTACATGCTGAAATCCATATATATATATCCCCTGAAAAAATACCAAAATAAAGACATCTTAATGCCTAAATGAATGATGGAAAACTGAAAAAAAAAAAAAATACACAGCTACCAGCACCACCATTTTACACCATGAAGTTGATCTCGTTTCAAGAAACACCGCCTTCAGAGAGCAAAGTGCAAAATTTTGCAGAGGACAAGTGGAATGGCCTAGAATAACGAGTTTCAGGAGGGAAAGAATTTGGAGCAGCAACATATTTTAGCCTTTACTTTTTCCCCTACACTACAGTGTGTGGAAAGGCAATTCCCAAAGAGTCAGACAGCGAGTGGTCTACACGAACTGTTCTACCCTGAGGAAACCTGCAGAACGTGCAACAGAAGGGTTTCAGACTTAGCTATTAAAGAAGTTTGCCCTTTGAAAGGGGAGTTTGTCTACTTCTCTGCCACAGCGTTTATTAGATACAGGCACGTGTATTTGTAAATACACAAAAAGGCTTTGCTTGTGTGGCCAGGATCTAGCTGTTAAAAAAAAAAAAAAAAAAAGAAAAAGCACATGTGGGGAAAGACTCTACCTGCGTTGATGGAGACCACATACAGTAGAGAGACGCAGTTTTCCAAAGATAAGGGTCTTTCCTGCTTGACAGTTGAAAAAAAGCAGCTACAATTTCATATCCCTGAAGAATATACCTTATTCTTCTGTTCCTCCACAGCCAGACCACACCCAAATGTTTTGAGTCACAGGGCGCTGTATAGACTATTCTGGCTTTATTTCTTTAAGGAGACAACAGAAAGCGAGTCATTAACTAAAAGCTATACTTGCTTCTCTAACGGCACTTTCTGTAAAGATATCACTGCAAGAGAAAGAGCAAGAGCAAGTCTTATCGGGTAGTAGCAGCAAGGATAAAATAGTTGAAAGAAAATTTGAAAGCCAGGAAGGCGTTGAGGAAACAAGAGAAGGAGAAACCTGGTTTTAGGAAAGCCAGTATAGCGTCCAGAACTGATTTTGTTGAACCTGGGTAAAAAGTGGTTTTACACACAAGCATGCAGGCTCGGACAAAACACATCTCTTATTCAAACATTGGTTCAGTTCAAGCAAATCCAAATACAGTTTCAGTGTATGATTACTAGATAAGATGAAACTAAGAGAGGAACGAGTGCTTCAGTGGTCGCATGCCAGAAAGGAAATAGGAAAATAAATTGGGCATGGTTGTGATGAAAGCAGCACAATCCTGCTGTTTTTTTTTCTAGAAAAATTGCTGGATAATTTACTACAAAATAATGATAAAAAAGCTTGAACAAAAACAGAAGTTGGAGGTACAATTACGTGAAAGTCAAATGTGGTTATGAAGAAAGCAGCTACATTGGCAGCACGTTTGTATTTACACTGAGAAGAAAAGCTGTAAATGCTAGAAGAGGAGTTACATGACCACTGTCCGACACCTACAGTAAAGCAGTAATACCCGTCAGGGCTCAGAAGGCACGCACAAAGGCTTTTGAAACCTTATTTCCCAACTTTTTTCTTGCCATGACCTAAGTACCCATTGCAGCAAGAAAACTGCACCTTGAATAAGAACATTACCCAAAGAAAACAGCATCCCACAGCATTCTCCTGGAGAAGCTGGCTGCTCAGGGCTTGGATAAGTGCACTCTGCGCTGGGTTAAAAGCTGCCTGGACGGCCGAGCCCAGAGAGTGGTGGTGAATGGAGTCAAATCCAGTTGGCGGCCGGTCACCAGTGGTGTTCCCCAGGGCTCAGCACTGGGGCCGGTCCCGTTCCATATCTTCACTGATGATCTGGATGAGGGGATCGAGTGCACCCTCAGTCATTTTGCAGATGACACCCAGTTGGGTGGAAGTGTCGATCCGCTGGAGGGTAGGAAGGCCCTGCAGAGGGACCTGGACAGGCTGGATCAATGGGCCCAGGCACTGGGTGAGAGTCAACAAGGCTCAGGGCCGGGTCCTGCACTTGGGGCACAACAACCCCATGCAACGCTGCAGGCGTGCGGAGGAGTAGCTGGAGAGCTGCCTGGCAGAAAAGGACCTGGGGGTGTTGGTCAACAGCCGCTGAACATGAGCCAGCAGTATGCCCAGGTGGCCACGAAGGCCAATGGCACCCTGGCTTGTATCAGGACTAGTGTGGCCAG